TTATAAAGCAATAGAAAGCTAACATATTAGTTATACTGTTCCTATCCTGCCATTATATGTTGAGTGTCTCAGGGCAGGTAGCTTGTCTTTTCAGTTTCACAGGTCTATGTGTCAAGAGGACATGTACTTTGGATACTTCATCTGCATTGGGAGTCAATTTAGGTGAAAATATTCTGTACTCTGAGCTGATGAGGTAATGAGATGAGACCTTTGTGATCCTTGGGAGGGAATAAGTGCATTTTCTTTTTTTTTTTTTCTTGAGATGGAGTTTTGCTCTTGTTACCCAGACTGGAGTGCAATGGCACGATCTCGGCTCACCACAACCTCCGCCTCCTGAGTTCAAGCAATTCTCCCGCCTTAGCCTCCCGAGTAGCTGGGACTACAGGCACGCACCACCATGCCCAGGTAATTTTTTTGTATTTTTAGTAGAGACGGGGTTTCACCTTATTGACCAGGATGGTCTCAATCTCTTGACCTCGTGATCCACCCGCCTCGGCCTCCCAAAGTACTGGGATTATAGGCATGAGCCACCGTGCCCAGCCTGCATTTTCTAAGTGGGAAGAGTGTGAATCATTGACTGTCATCTTGTAGGCTAGAAAATACATAATCTCTAAATTTTGTTAGCATTTATTCTACTTAATATTATAATAAATTATACTTTATACTTATATCTAGTATGTGTTTTAATAATTTCATTCCTCATTTTGACCTATGCAATTTCTGTTAGGATTTTAGTAGTTGGCCTGAAGATTATGGCATGTACCTTTGAGTTATTAAATAAAATGTAAATTAAAATTCATTCTACTTCCTAGAAAATGCAAACACCATAGAATGTTTTAACTGCTTTTATACTGTCTTTCTGTCTTTTGCACGGATTATAATTACATACACTTAATAACACTAACATACATATTTACATATTTAAATGTTTCAAGATAGTATTATAGTTTTATAAGTAAAGTTTTCTTATTGTTACTCATAATTTTTAAATTAGTTTTCTTTCTGAATTTCTGAGCATCCAACCAAATCATTTTTCTGTCTGCAGAACTCTTTTTCTTTAGATCAGTTTTGCTTTCAGTTTTTGGTTGCCTAGTATTTTACGTTCATTTTCTGAAGCATATTTTAACAGAATATAGAATTCTAAGTTGTTTTCAGGTTTCTTTTTTTTTTTTTTTTTGCTTTCAAAGAGAATTTAATTATTTGCTTCTAGTAGTCACTTAGATTGAAGCCATATTACTTTCATTTAATCAGTGATAAGTCTTGGCTTAAATATTTGTAAGAAGTGATTTTGTTTTTTGAATCTCTAGCTTCTAAGATGTAGATCTTTGAAAATCCCAACTGAAACCTTGGCCGTTTGCTAGGAAACTTTCTTCTTGATGAGATCCAAACTCTAATACTTTGCTTCCTAAAATTCTACTGAACTTCTTCGTTTCTGTGTCTGCTTTCTCAGTTTCTTAGCTTTTTGGTTTCTCAGCTTCTTACATTCAAATTATAGCAAATATTTTTATAGTAGATCAATATAGTAGATAGCAAGTATCTACTAAATATTTAGTATATTTAGTAGTATAATCTATATAGTAGATACCAAGTATCTGATTGTAACGCTGATTTTTCCTTCTTTCTAGGATCTTGTATACTCTAGTCTTCTGCTTTAATAAATCACCAGTGTCCTCAAATAGAAGATATTTCTATTATTCTAGTTTTAAAGATTTTTCCAGTAGGAGATCTGGTCTGAAAAAAGCTATCACATCATGGCTGGAATTAGAAAAATCTTCTTTTCCACCAAGCCCACTGTAATCTTACCTTTGTCCTTACAACTAATGAAATGATGTTTTTCAAGGTTTTCAATGACATCCATATTGCTTATTCAATTAATTTATTATAATACTATCATCTACATATTTTGATACAGTTAGTATTTCTCCTTGAATATCTTTCTTCACTTGGTTTCTTGTGTACCACGTTCTCCTTCTTTTTTACCTCGTACCATTTTGTTCACTCCTTCTCACTCTTTCCCACTGATTTCCACTCTTCCTCTATACCACAGCTCAGCAAACTTTTCCTGTAAAGGGCCAATGCTAAGTATTTTAGGCATTGTAAATTACATAGTTTCTGTCTCCTCCTCTTCTTTCTTTGCTGTTTCTGCTACCACTAATGTCTCCTCCTCTTCCTCTTCTTCTTTTTTTTGTTTGTTTTCACAATGCTTTAAAAGGGGAAAAAAAAGCAGCATCACCAAACAAAAACTCCTAAGGACCATACAAAAACAAGCCATCCATTGGATTTGGCCCACAGGCTATGATTTGCTGACTCTTGCTAGACTTTTAACCCTGGAGCACCCAAAGTGCAGTTCTTGAATTCTTTCTGTTTTTTATCTGCAGACATTACCTTGGAGACCTCACCCGGTGTCATGGTTTTAAATTACATTTATATACTGGTGGCACCATGATTTATGATGGAAGCCAGAACTTCTCCCTGAAGTACAGACTCACTTGTCTAATTGCTTAATCAAATCTCCACTTGGGTATCTACCAGACACCTCTAACTTTACATGTCCAGAATTAAACTTCTTATCTTCATGGCTTCCAAAATGCCTTCATTGTAGTCTTCATCATATCAGTTAATTCCCCCTAAGACCACTTCTTACTTAGGTTGGATTTCTGCCAGATTCAGATCCTGAGAATGATTTGAGTGCCAGCAGCGTTTTGGGATATGAATCCAGGAAACTATGGTAGGAAGTGGGGAAACAAGATAAGAAAGGGAAGGTAGCTAGTAAGAGGTACATAATCAAGGAAGTCGTCACATGGGCAACTTGTGCTAAATTGCCCTGGGGAAATCTGGAGCTCTTGTAAAGTACAGGCGGCAGCTTCATTCCCCACTATGGTATTTATATGACAACTGCTGTCTGTTATCGGTGTGGGTGCCTGTCCAAGGGGAGAAAATGAATATTGCTGGGCTTCTACATGCATGGGAGAAGTTAGCTCCAGTCCCAGACAGCCTTCAAGCAAAGAGATGCTGATGCAAGCAGTTAGAAGTTAAATGGCATGAACTGAAATATAAGATCCAGGGAATATGGGCAAGGCACTGCTGTTATCTTCTGTACCCTTTAATGCAAGCATGGTTCTGAGCTGCTATTATCTCTCTCTAGGCAGTTGTCACCTATCTGGTGTCTAAATTTCCACTTTTACATTCCTTCAGAAGGCTCTCAACACAGCAGTCAGAGGGATGCTGGTGAAACCTAAGTCAAATTGCATCTTTTCCCTGATCAAAACCCTCTGTTGGCTTCCCATATTATGCAAGATAAAAGCAAAGTCCTTGTCATGAGATTGCAAGTCTTATAAGATCTGCCTCAGTCTCTCTGATTTCCTCTCCTACCACTTCTGTTCCCTACCATTTTGATCCAATGAATGGGCCTGTTTAATTTTTAAACACAAAAAAGCAGGCACTACCTTAGACCTTTTCAATCATTTCCCCTTCTGCCTAGAAATCCCTTCCTCCAAATAGTGCTATGACTTTCTTTACCTCTCACTGTTTTTTGTTTGGTTGGTTTGTTGGTTGATTGTTTTGGAGAGGAGTCTTGCTCTGTCACACAGGCTGGAGTACAGTGGCTCAATCTTGGCTTACTGCAACTTCGTCACTTGGTCACTTGTGTTCAAGCAATATTCCGACCTCAGCCTCCCAAGTAGCTAGGATTACAGACATACACCACACCCAGCTAAATTTTTTTGTATTTTTAGTAGAGATGGAGTTTCACCCATGTTGGCCAGGCTGGTCTCAAACTCCTGACCTCAAGTGATCCACCTGCCTCGGCCTCGCAAAGTTCTGGGATTACAGGCATGAGCTACCACACCCAGCCATCTCTCTGATCTTGACCTCAACATCTCCCCAGTTTGTCTATTAATCTCAAAATTACCTCCATTCCCTTTCCTTTTGCTGCTTATTTTTTCTCCCTTACCTTTATCATTATCTAACATGCTGAATATATTAAAATTAATTTTGTTTATTCTCTGTCCATCCTCTACAATGTGAGCATCACCAGGACAGTTTTTCTCTGTTTGCGTTATTCACTTCTTTACCTTTGGTACATGAGAGTCAATCAACATGTTTTTATTGAATTAATGAACGAAGCAGTTTAGAACATAGTTACTGAAAATGACCCAGAGGTTGATTTTTAATTTCTTAAGAGGCAAAGTAACATTTTTCTTGGGAAATTTAATAGTCCAATTTAGTAAAATAATGTTTTTCTTTTAACATAATTGTACTGTAATTTCCTTCAAGTCATGATGTGGTCAAATTTGTGGCCTTAATCCCAGTATTGTTCAGTTATGCTCCTTTAGTACATGATATGATATTGATTATTAAGATACACTTTGAAAGCCAGATTATTTTTAAAATTGGGATTTTTCCAAGAATCCTTTTATACATTACAGGTTTAATACTATTTTATCCATTAAACAGAAGAAGGGTAATCTGTTTGGCATACCACTGTCCTATTTTTACAAAAGCTTTATTATACTAACTACATTTAATTTTTATCTTCATATGACATATCTTCTTATAATTGTGTTGGACATTTTGGAAAGCTTCTGAATCAAGTTGACAAATGTGGTTTGGCTGTGATGTTTAGTGATTTTATTTATTTTTATTTGACTATACATAGTTATCTTTTTCAATAACTTGACATTTCTCTAATTTTCAAATAATGCATGCTTGCTGTAAAAGACAAACAATATAGAAATGCATCAAATAGAAAGTAAACATGGTTCTTATTCCTGCTCCACAAAAATGGTTAACCACTTAGTATATATGCTTACGTATATACTTAGTTTATATGATTTCTTTCTAGGCACATAGAAGTGTATACTGTCGATATTATTTTATATGTTCACATAGGTATGTGTACCTTGATGAACATAGTACTATATGATTTATTATTTATTTATTATTGTTGTAAGAATATTTAACATGAAACCTACCTTCTTAACAATTTTTTTTTCCTGAGACAGGTGTTCACTGGCACAGTTTCGGCTCACTACATACTTGTCCTCCTGGACTAAAAACATCCACCCATCTCGACCTCCCAAGTAGCTGAAACCACAGGTATGTGCTGCCACACCCAGCTAATTTTTGTATTTTTCTTGTAGAATCCAGGTTTTGCCACGTTGCCCAGGCTGGTCTTGAACACCTGAGCTCAAGCAATCTGCCCACCACGGCCTCCCAAAGTGCTGGGATGATAGGCATGAGTCGCCATGCCCAGCAGCAAAATTTTAAGTATGTAATACATTAATTTTAACTATAGGCACAATGTTGTGCAGCAGATCTTTAGAATTCATTAATTTTGTATGACTAAAATTTTAGTACTCTATAATTTAAAAGTAATAATTATGACATTGATGAGATTGACAATCCCATTTGCATTGGTTACTGTCATCAGATCTGGATATACTTTTGGATTTTATAGATACTTATTTTTATTCAGATATGGTTTCATATACATAAATATTAAACTATGATTATACCATGACTCAGGGATAAATTCTAAATAGCAGCATATATGTTGAGAAGGCAATACAATAACTGTGAAAAAATAAGTTGTCCTATAGTGTTTGAAACTTGACAACTATAAAAATGGTGAAGACTGAAGAGAGATAACTTGCATAAAATATAAAGAAATCCTAACCATTTTTTAAAAGAACTGTCTTTTTAAGATGAGTGAGAAGTAATAACTTATAAAGAATATAGCCACGAGCAAGTCATCCTATCTTTTCTTTCATAAAGACGTATGTCATAATAGATCAACTCTCTGCCTCTACTTTATATATTCAATGTATATTTTTTCCTCCTCTATTCTTTGGGACTGAAATTACTTTAGAGAGTAGTTAGAGAAAATTGAAAGTGGTTTGGAACGTGTAAGAATACAAAGTTCAGACTGCCGTGAAACCTTTATTAACTTGTGAATTATGTCATCTGTGAAATAACAATAGATGACAAACTGAGCAGTGAGCAGAATGAAAGCATCCTTTTCTTTTAGAAAAATAAAATAATCTAGTTTCTTTTTGGAGTTGTGATCAGCTTTAGATTTTCAGTGTTTGTTTTGCAAAGATTTAATACACCATGAAGTATATCTTAGATACAATGAAGATATTATCTTTAGTAGAGTCTGGGGTTCAAGTACCAGTTTCTTGTATGTTAAATCTGCTTGGGTTGTCTCATGTTAGGAAAGAAATCAGTTTGTATCCACCTAGAAATTTTACTAAGAGACAGATTTCCTTTGCCACATGTATACTAGATTTTCTGATAAAGATTTTTTTAAATCAGAAATTCACCATGTATTATTGCTAATACTTCCCACTTGATATTGAATCATTTTCTCTTAGATGACTAATAAACATCTCATACCTGAAATCTCCAAGACAGATCACTTGTTTTTCCCCAAACCTGTCTCTCCAAGTTCTGTGCTTCACAGTAAATAATGTCACCATTTATCAAGATACCTAAGCCCAAATTCTGAGAGTCATTTTTTATTCCTCCCTTTTTTTACTATAAACAATGAATACGATATATAAATATGTAAAACAAAATATATTAAAATCTAGCCTCTTGTCTCTGGACCTTCTACAAATGCTCTTATAATTGTGTGACTATCACAAAATACGTGAGCCTCTGGTTAGTAGTAGAGGGGGATGAGTTAGTAATAGAGTGAAGATGAAATCATGTAATTATAATTTAATTATAGATTCAAGATATATACTTTCATTTCTGCTTTTCTATCTTACCTACACAGAATAAACTCATCTAAGTGGAGAACTGTTTGATGTGGACACTGGGAGATGTGACAGCTTTTTTTCTCCTTTTATTTTCTCCCAACCTGCTCTTCCATTATTGCCCCTTTCCTTTCCCGCTTATGAGAAAACAAAAACAAAACATCGGACATTGACCAACCTACTTTTGGATGATATACTCTAACACCATAGCATTATTTTAAATAATGATTAACATTATACTGTTCTTTGTGTTTCATTCTAAGACAAAATTATGACTGCTTTATGGTAAAAAGTTGTATCTTCACCAGATAAATGAAAATACTTCCTGTCTATTTCCCCTGGCAAAATTGCCTATTCATATGTTTGTAAGCCTTAGAGCCAAATATTCAGATAAACATTAATTAGAAAAGATACTAAAACAAAGCACTTTTTAATACCACCTGATATTCTGAGGGTCTTTGTTGAATTATGACTCTTTATACCTCAGAACACCTTACAGCAGAATTCATGGGTCTTCAATAGTTTGCTTTCAGAAATATTTCTGAAATGTTTCTTTGTGTTGGATATGTAATTAAGCTTTTAAAAGTCACATGTGTGGAATATTTTTTGCTAAGAGATTATTATCTTCATCCTCCTTTAGATTCTGGTTATCAGACAATCTAACTCTTGGAAAATATCTGTTTTATTGGTTTACAGGTCTGTGTTCAGTCTGGCAGTCAGATTGCACATATCTGTTAGTAATACACACAGAATAATATGTCTCTGTGAAATAGCAGGTTAGAAGCAATCCAATTGCATTGTGTAGCACAGTAAAAATTAAACTGATATCTAGCAGAATTCAGCATTCTGTTTGTTGCACTTTCATCATAAACCTGTGTCAGCTTTATTCCTTTGGAAATCTCAGTCCAAATAATCTCTCCTCTGTTTTGAGTTCTATTTATTTTCTCCTTGGGAAAAATGACCACTTTTCTTCTTTCTCCCATGAACTATGAGTGTTTACAGTATATAGTTCAATTTATGCCTTCTATTTTATAGCCTTGTGATTAATTTTTCAAATTCAATATTTTCTCCTTGTTTACCCTTCAAGTAGCCATCCAGAAAATCCTAAAGGATAGTCCATAAAAGTTGTATTATTTAGAAAACAGAATATCTATCCATAACCCCAGTCAATCACACTTATATAACTGCATTTATTTTTGCATGTTCCCTTCTCGTCTTTTTTTCACATCAGTCTGTTTACATGTGTCACTGATATTATTCTGAATTTTCACTTGGCAATATTTAATACACATTCTACTATAATCTTTGTAATAATTACTTTTAATTTTTAATAATTTTTTGAATTAGTATTACCTAATAAGAAGCATCTTGCCTTAAATTTTTCAATAATCACCGAAAACATTTTAATTCCTGTTCAATGTTCCATGTAATATATATGTCATAATTTAAGGAGCCAGTTCCTTGATGCTTGTTATTTAGAATTCTTCCAGTTTTCTCTGTCTTAAATTATGCTCCAATGAAAAGCTTTCCTATCTATGGAAACAGACACAGTAAGAAAGAGAGAATGACAATGCTATAAAATGTTAGCATTTGGGTAGTAGGTGAAAATTATAGAGAAATTCTTTGAAATATTTTTTGTGCCTCTTCTAGAATACTAGAATTATCTCAAAATAGTATAAAAGTGTATTTGAATCAGTGGAATCATTGGGTCAAATGTCACATACATGTTGAAAACCTCTTACATATTTTTTATACCAGTAAATGGTACAACAGTATGTGAATATCTGTTTTATTGCTCAATTAACAAGTGATCTATGAATAATCCATGTAAAAAAGAGATTTTTACTCTTTGCTGAAATTCAATAACAAGTTCTGTATTGGAAATGGAAGACTGTGAAAATGTAAATAGTGAGAGATAAGGGGAGAGGGAAGAGATACTGCATTTAGAGGAACATTCATGCCAATTTTTTTTCCAGTTGTCTTTGCAAGTACTCACACAAGAGAACAAGAGTGAGAATAACAATAGATTGATTTCTTTTTTCCTTTTTGGTGAGTTTCTATCTGGCATATATTTTCAGTAAAGGAACCCCACTATTTTTAGTAAGATTTGTGACATTAGTATATGCAGAGTCATAGAGTCAACTAATTTAAAGCAAGTGGGACAAGAATTTAGAGATTCCCCAACCCGAGTCTCACGATTTTACTGATAAAAATATGAAAACCTAAGATAAAAGGGGATAGTTAACATTACAAAATTAATCAACAATAGAGCCATTTCATTTTTTTTTATTGTACTTTAGATTCTGGGGTACATGTGCAGATCATGCAGGATTGTTGTACAGGTACATACATGGCAAGGTGGTTTGCTGCCTCCATCCCCCCATCACCTATATCTGGTATTTCTCCCCATGTTATCCCTCCCCAACCTCCCTACCCCCTGGGGTCCCTCCCCATCCCCCCTCAACAGACCCCAGTGTGTGATGCTCCGCTTCCTGTGTCCATGTGTTCTCATTATTCAACACCCGCATATGAATGAGAACATGTGGTGTCTGATTTCCTGTTCTTGTATCAGTTTGCTGAGAATGATGGTTTCTAGATTCATCCATGTACCTACAAAGGACATGAACTCATCATTTTTATGGCTGCATAGTATTCCATGGTGTATATGTGTCACATTTTCCTTGTCCAGTCTATTATTGATGGGCATTTGGGTTGGTTTCAGTTCTTTGCTATTGTACTAGAAATTCCGTTTGACCTAGCAATTCCATTACTGGGTATATACCCAAAGGATTATAAATTATTCTGTTATAAAGACACATGCCCACATATGTTCATTGCGGCACTGTTTACAATAAAGCCATTTTTATAACAGAATTCTCTTTACTAATATCGCTGGGCTTTTTCTATAAATACTATCATCTTAGTGATATGATTTGCCTCTGTATCCCAATGCAGATCTCACCTTGAATTGTAATAATCTCCATGTCAAGGGTGAGACCAGGTGGAGATAATTGAATTGTGAGGGTGGTTCACCCCATACTGTTCTTGTGATAGTGAGTTCTCATGAGATCTGATGGTTTCCTAATGGGCATCCCCCTTCACTTGGCTCTCATTCTCTTTCCTACCACCCTGTGAAGAGATGTCTTCTGCCATGATTGTAAGATTCCTGAGGACTCTCCAGTCATGCAGAAATGTGAACCTCTTTGCTTTATAAGTTACCTAGTCTCGAATATGTCCTTATAGCAGCGTTAAGAACAGACTAATACACTAGTGAGTCTGTTGAAGGACAACACATACTACTATTGTCATGTAAAACTGACTTCCAGTTACATATAG